CACACCCGTGGCCGCTACGCTGGTGTCGGCCGTCACCATCGGGCCGCTCGCCGAGATGCTGGTGCCAGTTGCAACACCCTCCACCGACCCCACACACCGACCATCGGGCGAAGTAATGCTAACTCCTCACCCGGAGTTGGCAGCGCGGTACGGAGTCGTCGGGTCAGCCACGCTGGTAAACGCAGATGGGGCCGACTGTTCATGCGGGTGTTTAACCCACACAGTACCCCGGCGATGCTACGACGGCGCACCACAGTAGCCACCATACACCCCCAGCACGCGCGCCACTCTAACGACTCGGTGTTCGCACTCTGGGCGGAAGACCCTGGCCGGCCCGAGGACAACCAGGATCTGGCTTGGCGGGTCGGCCCGACTCCCCGAGCCGAGATCATCCCTTTGCATGACGCGTTACATGTGCCTTGGGCGGACCTACCTAAGGGGGAGGCCGATCAGCTGCGTGGGTTGTTGCAGGAGTACGCCGACGTGTTCAGTGATCACGATTCGGATGTAGGTCGGACAGACTTTGTTAAGCACACAATTTACACGGGTGCAGCCCGACCTATCAAACTCCCCGCATACCGGGTGAGCGCGCCTGAACGTACCCAGATCAAGGAGGCAGTCGCGGATATGCTACATGATAAAGTAATCCAGACCTTGACGAGCCCCTAGTCTGCCCCGGTGGTGCTAGTGATGAAAAAGGACGGGTCGACTCGGTTCTGCGTTGATTACCGAAAGTTGAACGCAGTCACCCTCAGCGACGCATTCCCCATACCGCGCATCGACGACACCTTTGACAGGCTCGCAGGAGCACGGTATTTTTCCACCCTCGATCTGGCGTCCGGGTACTGGCAGGTGGAGATGGCGGAGGAGGATCGGCCGAAAACCACATTTACTACCCCGATGGGGCTGTTCGAGTTTCGAGTGCTTACGTTCGGACTCACTAACGCGCGCGCGACGTTCCAGCGATTGATCGAGTTGGTAATGCGGGGCTTACAGTGGGAACAGTGCATGATTTACCTGGATGACGTGATAGTGTTCAGTAGATCTCTGTCCGAGCACTAATCCAGGTTGCGAAAGGTGTTCCAGCGACTGCGAGCAGCCCATCTCAAGCTCAAGCCGCATAAGTGTTACATTGCGCAGCGCGAGGTAGCGTACCTCGGACACCGAGTCAGCAAGGCGGGGGTGCGCACTGATCCGGAAAAGGTGTGCGCCGTAGTGGAATGTCCACGGCCCAGGAATCTGACGGAGATCAGGTCTGGGACTCGCCACCTATTATCGTCGATTTGTAAAGGAATTCAGCGAGACTGCATGCCCCCTCACCCAACTCACCTCCCCTAAGAACCCCTATCGATGGACGGAGGCCTGCAAAACGGCCTTCACCACCCTCAAAGACTACCTCACCCACACCCCCACCCTAGCTTTCTCCGATTTCACCACGGATTTTATCTTGGACACCGACGCCTGCAGCAGTGGGCTGGGCGTGGTGCTGTCACAGGTACAGGGTGGGACGGAGTGGATCATCGCATACGCCAGGCGGACCCTGAGTGGGCCTGAGCTGAATTATTGCGTGACCCGTCAAGAACTGTATGCCGTGATCTTCACGTGTAAACAGTTCCGATCGTATTTGTATGGCAGGAAATGTCAGGTGCGCACCGACCATTTTGCTCTGCAGTTTCTCCTTACATTCAAGGAACCGCGGGGGCAGATGGCCCGATGGCTGGCGCAGCTGCAGGAGTACAACCTGCAAATAGAGTACCGAGCCTGGCGTACGCACGCAAACGCGGACGCCTTGTTAAGGCGCCCCGCGGTGTGTGCTGAGACAAGGGTGGAGGAAGTCTGCCCGTCCTTCACGGGGGGCCATTGCCGGAAGGTGGTGGGCCCCCAGGAGTGCACCCAGTCTAACCCCCCCCCCCCCCCCGGTGAGAGACAGTGCAGTATGTGCAACAGAGACCCCGGCAGGGGGAACCAGGGACCCGGTGGACAACTCGACGGGCATGGAGCCCACACCCTGGGGCCCGACGTGTCGCCCAACCCCACCCGATCGGATCCAGGAGGACGTCGGCTGCGCCTTCCCGGGCCTGGACGACGAGCAGCTGAGACGGACCCAGCTGCGGGATCCAGATCTGGCAGCGGTGGAGACGGCCCTACGGTAGAAGAAGGACGCCCAACCGGGACCCTGGAGTGGTTTGTATGCCTGGTTGTGCGTGCAGAACGGGGTGGTATGGGAAATAACCGAAGCCGGCCAGCCGGGATGCATTTGCATTCCCGCCCAGGTGCGGCCACAGCTGCTAAGTCTGGTACACGACCACCCGCTCGGGGGCCATGACGGGGAACATCGCACTCGAGAAACCCTACATCACCAGTATCTCTGGCCCAAGTTGTCACAAGACGTGGCCACCTGGGTGCAGGGCTGCCGCGCGTGTCAGCAATGCGGGCCGAAACCGGCGCGCTATCAGGTACCCCTGAGACCGTTCCACGTCAGCTGGACGAACCAGCTAGTTGGGATCGACCTGCAGGGACCATTCTGCGATCCCACCGGGGCAACCGGTATGTTCTCGTAGCGGTGGAGTACTTCACACGCTATCCCGTAGCGGTGGCCATCCCCGAAAAGACAGCCCTCGTAGTGGCCCGAGCGTTCGTTGAACACTACGCACTTAAGCACGGGATCCCTGAACGACTCATTACTGATCAAGGTAGTGAGATCGAGGCAGAGCTATTCCAGGCGCTGTGCCGGGAGTTCAGAATCCAGAAGGACTGAACTACGGCGTATCACCCCCAGGCAAATGGGATGGTAGAGAGGATGAACCAGACCCTAGCCGGGAAGCTTAAATGCATGGCGGCCGCGAATCAACAGGACTGGCACGAACATCTTCGCTATGCTCTGTTCGCCTACGCCACCACGGTACACACATCTACGGGACAGACCCCGTTCCTAATGATGTTTGGTCGAAAGTCTCACCTGCCTACAGATCTGCTGTTCGGTGTCCCTCCGCCGCAACGGGAGGAAGGGAGCTGCCCCATGGACCACCTGATGGAGACCCTACGAGAAGCTAGGGTCCGGGCCTGCCCGCAAGGCGAGACCGCACACCAGCGGCAGGAGTGGAGCGCCCGACCCCGAATGGAACCCCCCTTCTATTCGGCGGGCTCTAAGGTGTGGCTTGCACACCCCTCGCCTCGGGGCCGGACAGGTGGGGACGTTAACCACTTACTGGCGGGGACCCTGGATGGTGGGGCGACAGATCTCCCCCTGGACGGTACTGATTCAAGGGGGAGAGAGGGGCCAGGAGATGGTAGTCAATGTCCGGCGACTGAAACCATGGAGGGCGACCCCAGCGAGGGAGAACCCCAGTTTCTACAACGGAGTCCGTATATAATAATATAGTGCTTAAATACCATTATTATTGCACGCCCAGGGGGATGGGTGTGGGAGTAGTGGCCCAGCCTGCCAACGTGTTACCCCCCCTGCCTCGCCAATGTAGGCCAGGACGGGTGCTCCGCACCGGCCTAGGCCTGACCAAGCCTATGGTAAGTACAAATTTCCTTGCTTCTTACGCTAAGAACTCAGGTTCATTGTTTACTATTATTAAACAAATACGTTGCCAGATATTACAGTAATAATTTTTGTGTGCACATAGGAACTCTGGCTCATTGCTGACTATTATGAAACTTATAAGTTGCCACAAATTACAAAAATTATGTTTGTGTGCAGATAAGAACTCGGGTTCATTGTTTACTATTATGAAACAAATACGTTGCCAGATATTACAATGATGTCTGTGTGCACAAAACAAAATTTTCATTATTAGCTTGATAAATATTCCCTTTTTTAGCTGTGCTTTTATCACGCTGCGACGGTGTATTGCCAGTCTGTCATGTGCTCTGCTGCCTGCTGAATAATTAACGTCAGTGCACTGCCACTCTATTATCTACACTGCTAATATTCCTTTTGACCATTATGAGTGTATGCCAGTCTATAATCTGTTGCCTGCTTCTTTACCTCACTCAGTGTACTCCCAGCCTTTCATGTCCACTGTATTCTGCTTTTTCAGCTGCTGCCTGAATTGGCTGCTTTTTATGTCAACTGTAGCAATGCTTATGTCATTGAGTCGGCGTACTGGCAGTCTATAATCTAAACTGTAGCCTGCTTCTCAACTTACCTGTGCGTAATGCTGCTCTTTAATTTACACTGCTTTCTGCTTATTTCTTCAATGCATTTCCATTGTTTCCATTGCTCATGTCACGCTATTTACTCATACGGAGTACTGCGATACTCAGAGCTGTGCCATCATCGGGGATTGCTGTGCACGTCGATGTGTGTGTGTGCGAGTCGATGTGTGTGGGTTTGAGTCCATATGTGTGCGCGTTTAGGTCCATGCGTGTGTTTAAGTCCATGTATGTGTCTGTCTTTTAGGATTGGACAACGCTGATGTGTGTGTGTACGTCCAAGTGTTTGTGTGTCAGTCCAAGTGTGCGTGTCAGTCCATTTGTGTGTTTATCAGTCGCTGTGTATGTGTTAATCCATGTGTGTGTATCTAAAGTAGATGTCTGTGTGACACAGTTCATATGTATATGTGTGTGTAGGGCAATGTGTGTGTCAGTCTATGTGTGTGTGTGTGTGTAAGTCCATGTGTGTGTGTCTTAGTTGATATGTGTGTGTGTAAGTACATATGTATGTTTACGTCAATCTGTTCTTGAGTCCACGTATATCTGTGTGTGAGTCGATGTGTGTGTTTGTGTCGCTGTATGTGTCTACGTCCATAGATGTGTGTAACTCCATGTGTGTGTATCTAAAGTGGATGTCTATGCGTGTGTGAGTCCATATGTGTGTGTGTGCAAGTCCATGTGTTTGTGTGTGCAAGTGGATTTGTCTGTGTGTGTCAGTCCATGGACATGTGTGTTAGTCGTTTGTGTCCGTGGCTCCATGTGAGTCCGTGTAAGTCCATTTCTTCGCGTGTCTGTAGGTCCATGTGTGCGTGTGAGTGAATGTGTGTGCTTTATTGACCTGGTCAAGGCCTATGATACCATCAGTAGGCCTGGCCTCTGGGTTGTTCTTCATACTTTCGGAGTCCCTCAGCCTTTGCTCAAGATCTTTAAGGACCTTCATGATGGTGAGTGGTTCCGCGTCAAACTACGTGGCCGTCAGTCAGAGCCATTCCTTCTACACCTTGGGGTGCGACAGGGATGTCCTCTGGCTCCGACATTATTTAACATATATTTTGACCACGTAGTTCGTGAAGACTTCAATGGCTGTACCGGAGGAATTACCATATGGTACATATACAATGGGAGGCTGATCGATACCCGGGTACGGTCAAGGGATGGCTCCCTATTGATCAACCATGTAATGTATGCCGATGCTCTGGTGAATCCTGCTCACTCAGAGGAGGACTTGGAGGCACTGCTGCTGAACCTGGAGCTTGGCACTAAGAGGTGGGGCCTTACCATCAGCCAAATCAAATCTAAGCACCTGGCTGGGTATTTTGTACCATCGGACAATACACCCCCACAACTCACAATTTCTGATGCGCTAGTTGTGGAGAGATTGGAGATATTCCCATACCTGGCCAGTGTGCTCATGACCAGCTCCGGTTTAACACCAGAGCTCTCACTCCAAATCAGTTGAGCGCCATTATCTTTTCATCAGCTGCGCTACACTGTGTGGAAGCTACCTGGTCTCTCGCTCCGCATGAAGCTCCAGGTCTTCTCGGCCACGGTAATCCTCTACCTTCTGTACGCTTGCGAAACGTGCACCCACCTAATGGAACATCTTCGCCGATTGGAAACATTTAGGCTGGCCTTCTAACGATCCACCCTGGGTTTAACCATATGTGTGTGTGTGTGCGTCTAAGTCGATGTGTTTCTATGTGTGTGGGTCGATGTCTGTGTGTAAGTCCATGTGTGTGACTGCCTTTTTCGCCCGGGCAATGGCGGGTACTTCACGCTAGAATTTAATACTTTTTGGTGTTCTTGTACTCTCGTGCTGATCATTTGTCCTTTTTGTCCAACATAGCATTTGCCACACGTGCAATTAATCCGGTACACACCTTCTGTTGACAGCATCGGTAATACATCTTTCGTACAAGATATTAATTTATGTATTATATGTACTATGCCAAATATGATTCAGATGCTTTTTTTTTCTACAACCACCTGGCTAGTTTACCAATTACTCCTGCAATGTACGGTATTTTAATAGTTTTAATTACTTGGTCAGATTCGACGGGCATGTTATTTGATTTGATTTGCCATTCAGTGCCCTGTTGATTTGTGTATCATTGTAACCGTTCAATTGCAGAGCTTCTTTAACATGGTTAATTTCACTTCCTCGACTGTCACCATTTGACACTTTCTTAGCCCGATGTCTGAGTATCTTGATGAGAGAATTTCTGTGCAGGATGATGGTGGGACTGCATTAATTAAATTAACACTCCAGAGTTTTGCAGTTCAACTTTCACTGATTGTTCAACACTCAGGGGTCATTTAATTATGCACTTGTTTATCAGTCATTAGATTTAACAAACCTAAAATGTGGAAGATCACTACTCCATCGCTACAGCTATTGAGAGAGCCATGCCTTAATCTCGACGCAATGACTATTGCAGAAGACTGCACAAGAGCAACACCTTAGTACCTAAAATCCAATAAAAGTTGTTTCATGGCAAATCCTGCATTTTTATAGAAACGAATTGAAAAACCATTGCATAGTTAATGATACATCTACTGGCACAGTGCAACTGCAGATCAAGTGTAATGCCTTCACTATTACAGGGGTGACCTTGCAGGGTTGAGAATAGATCACTATTCCATCACCGACGAGACATCTGGTAAATGCATTACCAATTTGCAGCATTAAAAACATTCTTTGCAAGATTGTGCCATGTCCGTCCAGTGCTCGCTGAGCAGAATTGGCTTCCAGTTGCCCAACGAATACATTAGAATGTCGCACTCATTACATACAAGGTGCTTGCCACAAATGTACCACAAAACCTAGCTGATCTCGTCAAGGAGCATAAACGATGACGAAAAATGAGGTCCTCCTTGCAGCAGTTTTGGCTAACCATTGAACAAAGACGGTCACTGTATCATGCGGCACTTTTAGACGAGCTTCTGCGGATGTCTGGGAACGCTCTTCATTCCTATGTTAGGAAGCCACTGCAGCTATACACTTTTAAAGATAAATTGAAAACGAATTTCTTTAGACCAGATGTTTCTGTTTAGTTTGTTGTCCTTGCCCCGCGCCTCTGATTAGCAGTTGGCTACGTACGGTGTGAAAGAAGCTCACCATACACACAGACACGTGTTTAATACCGAGTATACTGTACGACTAAGTGCACACGGTAGCAAGAGCGCACTTTATGAATGGAATCAGTCATTATTCACGAATGTGGGTAATTAAGTAAACAGCCAAAGAGTGTAGAAGCAGTGGCAAAGATGGCTAGGCACCACACTGCTCTACGACCCGGGCGCACATGAGTTCAATCCTGGCCATGGCCACAACAATATACAATGGCGAGCGATGTCAGGGCTTGTTGCCCGCTGCCTTTACCGACCCGCACCGAGCACCCGTGGTGGCATGTGGTTAAACAACCCCCATGCTGGGGAGGCCTTCATGCAGCAGTGGATTGGCCATGGGCTGTACAGTATTATTACTTTTTCGCAAATAGCCATTGTAACCGTTCATTTGCAGCGCTTCTTTAACATGTTTAATTTCACTTCTCAGATAACTGATAAACTCGCCAGATGTTTGTAAAAACAAAACATCCGAGTCAGATTTGGCACGGTACATAAAATACAGAATTTTATATCTGTTACAAAAGATGTATTGCTGAAGCTGTGCACATGATTAACTGCACGTGTTGTAAATGTTGTTTGGCAAACAGGACGAATGATCAGCACAAGACTAAAAGAACATCAGAAAAATATTAAATTCTCCCAAATGCAACTGTCAGCAGTAGCAGAACACGCGTGCTAACAAGGACACTCAATTCATTTTGATGTTGAAGTTTTGTGCAAAACTAGCTACTACTGGCCAAGACGAATTAGATTATCTATCGAAACTTAAAGAAATCAAACTAACTTTAACCGTTCGGATAGCTACCGTCTTAGTGCTGCGTAGAAGCGAACCAACAAGTAATACATTATTTAAATGTATGCCTACAAAGGGCAGCATACTTCAATAGGGATTATCGTTGGTAGGACTATTTTAATAAACACTAGACAGGAAGGACAAGTTCAAAGGGCTCGCATAATGCACATGCATAATGTACGTTGCCTCAGTAATCCCCCCCCTCCCCACATTGTGCAAGAGCACAGAAGGGTGGTCAACACAACTACGCCTCTATATAAGGAACGAAACAGTAAGACTTCACAAATCTGGCTGTCGCCTGATGAAGCTAGTTGTAATTACTGGCGAAACGTCGTACTCAGATTGTAAATGCTGTGGCTTGGCTCTCCAACACACCTGTGGCTGTTCTAGTGACGAATTGGCATGTTCTGTTTACGTGACAACCCTTACGAGTTGGCTGTCGGGTGGTGGCGGGTTTTAGCAACACATATATTTACGCGATCTAACCCAAAAAAACTCAATTATGAATAAAGAATTAAATGAAAATTTTTGATTTAAAGCTTTCGTGACTGCAGTAATTCATATTCTTAGTTTTTTCGGTAAAGTCACGTTGAAGAGAAACAACAAAATAACAATATATATAAAACAATTAAAAAAAAATTCTCACGACGTTTCGACCATAACTCAAACGGTCATCATCAGGTGTGTTGGTTTGCATAAATTTATTTTTAAACGGCACATTTATTTATTTATAAAAAACGTTGGCGTCACGCGTAGCGATTTGGCAGTTTGCCCAGGACTAGTCCATCTATTTTTTTTTTAAAAGAGGAGGGGGGAGACGAAATTTTTTATAATGTATGCTGTCTGAAAGCCACTGTAAGCGTGAACAATCAATTAAGAACTGAAATGGTTTATCAAATCTTTCCAATGATTGCTAAGATAGAATCCATCTCCTCGGTTGAAATTGTCTCTGTGCTTGTATATGTGGATAGCCTCATGAACGAATCTCTCATGGAAGCCAGATGGCTTACAAAGAACCTCCGTCTTGGAAAAGTCAATGGCATGTGAGTCTACTGAATTAGAACAATGATCTGCTACGGCCGAGGTGTTGGTCCTACCGTGTTTAAGGTCTGCTTTATGTTCACGAATGCGGTCCGAGACATGGCGTTTGGTTTCTCCAATGTAACTACTACCACAGAGGCAACTTAGTTTGTAGACACCAGGGTATTGTATGTCCGGAATCACATCTTTTACAGACGGAACCAGATCACGGATTTTATGTAATGTGTTGAAACGGACCTGGATCTTGTGTTTATTCAAGATTTTGGAGATCTTTTTTGTGATCCCAGCAATGTAGGGTAAAGTGATGGTTTTGAAAGGCTCCTCAAGAGGGTTCTTCTTCATGGTTTGAGTGATAGCTTTGCGGATTGTATAGTCGGAGTAACCATTAGCCCTAAGAGCTTGGTGTACGTGCTTGAGTTCACTGCTTATGTGTTCCTGGTCGGATATGCATTGTGATGGATGGTGGTGGGAATCTGGTTTCAGATAAGCATCCGTATGGGTAGACTGCCACTCTGCGCCCAACCTTATGGAAGAGGTACGTGGATGACACTTTTGTCACGCACACCAAGCTCTTAGGACTAATGGTTACTCCGACTATACAATCCGCAAAGCTATCACTCAAACCATGAAGAAGAACCCTCTTGAGGAGCCTTTCAAAACCATCACTTTACCCTACATTGCTGGGATCACAAAAAAGATCTCCAAAATCTTGAATAAACACAAGATCCAGGTCCGTTTCAACACATTACATAAAATCCGTGATCTGGTTCCGTCTGTAAAAGATGTGATTCCGGACATACAATACCCTGGTGTCTACAAACTAAGTTGCCTCTGTGGTAGTAGTTACATTGGAGAAACCAAACGCCATGTCTCGGACCGCATTCGTGAACATAAAGCAGACCTTAAACACGGTAGGACCAACACCTCGGCGTAGCAGATCATTGTTCTAATTCAGTAGGCTCACATGCCATTGACTTTTCC